GTAGGGCCAAGGAGGTGATCCTCCCCCTCTACGCGACACTGGTCAGGCCACAGCTGGAGTACTGTGTCCAGTTCTGGGCACCCCACTTCAAGAGGGATGTGGACAACATTGAGAGGGTGCAGAGGAGGGCCACCTGCATGATCCGGGGACAGCAGGGCAGACCCTACAATGAGAGGCTACAGGACCTGAACCTGTTCAGCCTTCACAAGAGAAGGCTAAGGGGGGACCTTGTGACTGTCTATAAACTCACTAGGGGGGACCAGAAGGGTTTGGGGGAGACCTTGTTTCCCCTAGCACCCCCCCCCGGGATAACAAGGAATAACGGCCACAAGTTGTTGGAGAGTAGGTTTAGATTAGACATCCGTAGGAACTACTTCACAGTTAGGGCGGCTAGGATCTGGAACCGACTTCCAAGGGAAGTGGTGCTGGCTCCTACCCTGGGGGGCTTTAAGAATCGGCTCAATGCCTACCTAGCTGGGTCACTTGAGCCCAGTTTCCCTCCTGCCCAAGCAGGGGGTCGGACTTGAAGATCTACAAGGTCCCTTCCGACCCTGCTTCTATGATTCTATGACACTTACGGCACTATAGGGAATGAGAAAAAGAGAGCAGCAAAACAAACATCCCTGGATCAGTTTCTCAGTCTCCCCAAAATCCTCCCAAAGAAGCCCTTCTGAATTCCATGACCCTGATGGTGGTGTTCCTTCACCTTCTGATTAAATAAAATTTTATGTGATTAGTTACTTATTGCCCTGTTTAATCAATTTATATACAGTACACTTTAGAAAGCTTTGTACTGTACAGTGTATATCATTTATAGTTGATTAAATAGTTGATTTAAATATGATGTTTATGGTCATTTCTATAAAAAGTTGGGCATCAGGCCCTTGGGCAGGAACATAACCCCCTTTATAACATTGTTTCTATGGGAAAATCAGATTCGACTTGCATCGTTTCGATGTACAGAGCCTTTTCCAGGAACGTAACCCGCCGTAAGTACGACTACCTGTCCATTCTTGTAAGGCACTGAAAACACTAACAGCACTTTACTCAACTAACAGCCTTAACTGAACTGTTTTAGCATCAGTGTGGTGTGACAGCAGGACATTCTGACAACATAGGACAGGGTGGCCAGGAGGGCCGTCTCTGGAATTTGATAATACGGCTCATATGCTCTTGTCTACAGAACTGAAGACATGTGGAACTTAACATACCCTAGTACATAATGCTCCACAATGTGTGTGGTGTAGCATATTTTACACCCCACTCCTCCAAGTCAATGTATTAAACTAAACTAAAGCTTGGGACCTCTTTTAGCAGACACACTGCTTTCCCCCCCTGATTTTAATACAGACAAAACGGTTTCAAAATGTGGAGAATTGCTCTACTTCCAGCATATTTCAGTGCTTGAAAGCAGAAACTCGATTCAAAGACTGGGCTGGAAGGACAGGGAAAAGGAAAAGAAGTGAAGGAACCAGAGGCCTAACAACTCACCGATGTGATAAATCTATACAAAGGCTGTCGCCTCTCTGTATATTTCACTGTGATGGGGCTCAGATCGTACCGAAACCAGATAGCCGGGATAATACGGCCAGTGTGACTGTAGGCCACGTACTCCTAGAAAAGAGAGAAAAACAGAAAGTCTCAGCAACTGCATTGTAAAGATTATGTTCTCTAGAATCCTGTTGTCTCATGCTCCCTTTTTCATTAGCCTGGCTGTTTCTTGTTTCCTCAAGAGCCATTCTTTGTTAAGACTAGACTTAAGAAGAATAAACTGCTAGTTTCTCAATCAGGGATGGTTTTCCTCTCAGCACAGGAGAGGAAACAAAATGAAGTAGCCCTGCTCCATTCACCCCATAGAAACCCTGTTTTTCCCCCCTTGCCTCTTGAAGTCTTTTCAATATGGAGTGGATTCAGTTTCAATGAAAAAAAAAAAAAAAAAAAAAAAGGAGACCAGAATGCTGACCAGAATAGCATCAGGGCTCTTACCAGACTGAAAATTAGTGCGGGAGCTGTAGTGGCTCTTTGGGGTAGAGAGGAAGCAAAGGATCAGAGAGATAATGGGAGAGAGGAGACAGTCCAAACTAAAACCCTGCCCACTTTGTGCCAGGGGATCTGTGCCAGATTATTCCAATAGTTTCCTGCTTCTGTGAGAGTTTAGGGCTGAAGCAATGATAATTTTTTTTTTAGTAGAAAAAATGCAAAGACAGCTCCTTTCCCTGCACTCCAGCTTTGAAGGGAACAGTTTTGACAGACCTGACCTCACTTTTTTTCCTTCCTCTCTCCACCTCCTGGCAACACAGCCCTACTGATTCAGTCTTGGCCAAATGCCCTGACTGCAACCCTGCTCAGAGAGGTGTCAAAAGCAGCAGCTCTGGCTGTACATTTTCTAAATGACTTTTAGAACTTATGTCGCAAGACTCTTATCAGAACAGCAGTTGTGACATTAAACAGAACAAACACACTATTGTCTGGGGAAAGAAAGATATCCAAAACCTCAGGACACTGTGTTCAGGCAGGATCTGAAATCAGTGGAGAGCATCAATCATCTGAGCGCTAGCTCACGAGAGCGCGCACACACATCCATGGCAGTCAGGACAAACTCTTACATATTTTAATAGACAGTAGCAGCCTGGGGAGCCTCAAGAGAGACTAGAGAACAAAAAAAAAATTTTGTTTTTATTTTGGTTTTTAAAGTTAAATCATTTAATTACAAAATTAAATATTAAAATTGACCATAAAACTTGCATTAAGACCTAAACTTATGATCATCTTTTAAAAATCCTTTAGATTAAATAAATATTCAAAGAGTCCATATTTGCTTTCACTGGCTAGACACCTGAAACCAGCATTTCTTGAAATGCTAAATCAGTTTTTGACAGCAGTCTTTTCTTCTACAAGCTCAGAGGGCATCTTCTTCCTTTTGAGTTTATTCAGTTAATTCCAGTTCACTAATTAGCTGATTCACACTTATACTAATAGGAGTTGTTGTTGGGTTTTCTTTTGGGGGTTTGTTTTTTTTTTGGGGGGGGGGGGAAGGGAACAAGAAAATGTTTTATTCTACAGATTTAGGAAACAGGTGAGAAAAAAAATAATTTAATAGTTCTAAAATTCTGAAGGATACAGGTGAGTAGAAAGAAAAGCAGTTCTATTCACTAACTACAGCTAGCAATTCTTAAGAAGAAAATAACTTAAAATGCAAAATATTTTTTGATAAACCTCCTTTCTCTCTTATGCATCCTGCATCTTTATGATAGCTTTTAATGAAGACTTTTTGAAAATGCTGTTTTTGTACATTTAACTGAATTACATTTTTCATCCAAACACAGCTTGGCGTGTCACCTGTACCTCATTTACTAAATTAATTTTTTATATTGTTTACCTTTTTTCCACCACGATATGGTAAAAATTAAGCATCTGAATAGATGTATATAAAGAAATATAATAACTTAAATACACTTGTACTGAAACAGTATATATTGTTGACTAGGAAATGTAGAGGGGGGTTGTTGGGTTTTTTGTTTGTTTGTTTTTTGGGGTTTTTTTTTACAATAGGTTGATTGCAACTAAATATTATTGCTACCAACCAATAAGAATTTACCTCCCTGGAAAATAACTGAAAAGTATAAATAGAAAACAAGATAAATATGTATTATTCAAATCAAGGTTTTCTGTTTGATATTAAAACAATTGATCTACTTTGAGGACAGAAAACACAAAAAACTACACACATAAAATCCTAAGGGCAGCAAACAGCACTTGATGTTCCACTGATACATCAACAGAACATTAGAAGTGCTGTGCCTGTGCTTGTCACAGCCTTAGCTGACTAGCAAAGGGCAGTGCCCACTTAAGCAAACATTAAGTTTCCTCTGCCTGTTCAAAAATTATTTACATCCAACAAAACCTCTTTAATGGAAAAAAATAGCCACCAGCCAAGACCTGTCACTTGGAATGGCACAGCCAGCTCCTGTTATAAAAATCAGTATGGCCTGGATCCCTTCAGCAAGAGTCTGAGTTGCAATTCAACCTATTTCAGGCTGTACTGATTTTTGGTAAAACATATAAGTAGCTGTGTCATTTAAGTTTGTGTACAGGTCATCTGCATGGAAACAATCCACTAGAGAAAAAAAATAAGCACCAGGTTAAGAAAGAAAAAAAAAAGCAAACCTTGTGCTACCATAACACCGCTGCTATTAATTATAGAAGAGGTGATGGCAAGTCTTTTCTAAAGCATTTCAGTTCCTCACTCTTCCAGCAGGGGCTACTGTGCACCTATAGAAGTACAACATGAATGGGATTTGTAACCAAAGTGTCTTCTCCTGCACTCGGTGGGCTTTGTTTGCCCAACAGCAAGACTCACCTGACAAACAGCCTCTTTCTTACCTTGTTTGCTACAGTGTACTGGTAGGAGTATCGCTGCTTGCCATTCATATCTTCATACACTGTGGGGACTATCTTCAATATGTAATCATGAGATGCAAGAGCTGTGGATTCAAAGGGGAAAAAACCAGAATGAGCCACTGTTCAAGAAGGGAAATTGCAGCCTGCTTGATAGGTTTAAAATGTGTAAAACCTTTTAATGCGAGTAGGTTCCAGGTGAAGGCCCCTCTTCCATTTTGAACTCATCCTTGCAAACTTGTACTTCTTTACATATAGGACAACCCATACCACCCAAACAGCTCCAACAAGTGCCCACTTCTCTAAAACCCCAGGATGAGAATTAGGGTCATTTAAAAATGCCAATTTTGCAGCTCAAATACCATTTAACAAGCCACTGTACCTGTAATAAAAAAGCTGCACTTGGGATCAACACTGGTTAAAAGTGATGTGCTGCTCTTGCAGCTCTGGCTCACAGCATTGTTCATGAAAGGAAGTTCCTCAAACATTATAGGCTGAGTGGCCACACACTCCTACAGAACTAAACTGGGAGAATAATATTGTTCTATGGCATTCTCCTCCCAACACCGCCCACAGTAGCTTAACAATAACTAATTCATTTTGTGGGGTACCACAGGCATTGGGCATTTTCCTGGATGATGGAAGTTAAGAAAGGCAGAAGACTATCACTAAGCCACAACAGGGACTCCCAGTATAAAGCACAATGCTTAGTTACCTCCTGGGAGGAAAAAATCTAGGGTCAGAAGCAACCTCTGAAATCTCATGTCTGGAAGAGGCTGAAGATGCTTCCAGCTTTGAAGGCACAGGAAGAATTAGCTGATCAGCAGCATGCATTGGGATTTCACCCTTATTCTATGACTGGTCACACAGAAGTGCAGCCTTGGTGTGGGAGCGCATGACAACAACTAAAGAACAGGGGAAATATTTTAGTGGTGGTAGAAAAAGCAATAGCAAACAGAGTGGAGGTTACTGGAGTAATACTCTTCTGTAACCCCAGCCCACTCAGACTTGTTACTCTGTGTAATGTCAAGCAGACAAAACAGCACGTTCTTTAGCAGGTGACCGTGACATCTGTACAGAATAGCAGTGGCTAGAGTGTTAGAATTGCAGGAGGTGAATAAAGGGCCCACTGGACTAGGCCTTCCTGAGGGCCAGGGGCCAAAAGCAGG